GTTGAGCATTGCAGAACCAGATCCGCACAAGGAATCAATTCCCACTAATTCCCGGAATGCCAGGAACCAGTTCCTACCAATTACAAGGCATTCCGGGAACTCCATCGATTCCTGAATTCAGTAATCATCATGCAATTGAAATGGTCTGGTGATTCTCATAGCATGCAATTCCCGAACGGAATTGCACGGAATTCCATGGAATTCCCGCAATTCCGTCCGATTCCGGAATTCACTGATCATCTTGCACCTGTAATGGCTTGGCCATCGACATAGCATGCAATTCCAGAACTGAATTTCGGGGAATTACTTTAACCGGGAATTGCATGGAATTCCAACAATTCTGTCCAATTCCGGTATTCACTGATCATCTTGTAATTGTAATGGCTTGGTGATGCACGTAGCATGCAATTCTCGAACGGAATTCCGGGAATTGATTCGGTCGGTCATTGCACGGAATTGCACAGAATTCCGTGGAATTCCCGGAAACCGATGGGATTTCGGAATGAATTGATGAAGTTGTTCTCCTAATTTCCTACTCCTGGACGTACAACTAATTTGGGACAGGAATAGCGAGAATCGAAGGAAACGGAATTTCCCGGAAAATCAGCCGGACCATGTAATCTGGTGGTTCCTGCGTGTGGGTGTGCGTTTCTATTGCTGAATATATATGCGGTTGTGGTATTATCCGGAAGCATCTTGCTGTGACCGTCCCGTGAAATCTAGAGGCCAACATGACCTCTAGCAGCAAAAAAGATAGCGAAAAAAACGCCGCCAGGTACGCCCTCAGGCGGACACATCCCCATCGAGACCGACACCGAAAGGCACAGTCACTGCGACAGCCATACGCGCGGGTGCATTCAGCACCCACAGCAAGATTCGCCAGCTGACGCACACCCACACCCACACCCACACCGATACCCACACCCTCCAAGGGGTGATAACAAACTTTTTCTCTCGTTAAACAACATCTAGCAAACCATTGTTTCACATTGACATAATTCAATACATCATGAGACAAACAAACTCGAGACCGAAGCCCATCACCCGCCAGGCAACAACAATGGTCCAATCAAATGCAAATCCTGTTCGGGCTCGTATTGTCCAGAGCTTAATGCTTGTCTGGGTGGATGCGAACTATGATCCAAACAAACAAGATTATCAAAATACCCTGCAACAACTTCGCAGCGTCGTCGACAACGTCCAGGTGTACAGCGACCCACAAGGTTGTATGCAGTTCCTTGAAGACCTTCAAAAAGAAAACATCTTCATTATTATATCCGGTTCTTTGGGCCAGCAATTGGTTTCGGAAATCCACTCAATGACAGGAGTGGATGTTATTTATATATTGTGTGATGATCGAGCTCGACATGAGCAATTGGTGACGGATTGGCCAAAAATCAAAGGTGTGTACACCCATATCAAGCCCATCTGCGAGGCTCTGAAAGTAGCCATCAAACAGGCAAACCAGGATTCCATTGCGGTGAGTTTTGCAGAGACAGCTGATGACGGTTCCATCCTGGATTTGAATCGATTGGAGCCGTCCTTTATGTATACTCAACTATTCAAAAGTGCCTTGCTGGATATGAATTATAACGAGGAAGAACGCCAATACTTCGTCACATACTGCAAAAATACAAATATCGGTGCCTTACAAACGCTTAATGAATTTGATCAGGATTATCGTCGTGACAAAGCAATCTGGTGGTACACAAGAGGCTGTTTTCTTTACGAATTATTGAATGAATCCCTTCGACTATTAAAAGCTGACTTAATTGTCAATATGGGTTTCTTTATGTGTGATGTCCATAAACAAATTGAACAAATGCACAAGGAGCAGATAACTCAATATAATGGACAACCTTTTATTGTTTATCGAGGACAGTCCCTTTCTAAGAGTGACTTCACAAAACTGAAGAAGACCCAAGGTGGACTAATTTCATTTAACAACTTTTTATCAACCAGTAAGGACAAGGATGTTTCCCTTGTCTTCGCCCAAGGTTATTTAGCGAACGATGACAAGGTCGGTATTCTTTTCGTTGTGACCATTGATCCTACCTTGGCTTCGACACCGTTTGCCGATATCACAGATGTCAGCTTCTACCAAGAGTCTGAAATACTTTTCTCGATGCACACCGTATTTCGAATCGGGCAGATCGAATGTATGGGTGAGAATGGACGTCTCTTCGAAGCACAACTAACACTTACAGCTGATAATGATAAACAACTGGATGTTCTTACTCATCACTTGACGCAGGACAGTCAACTCTATGGTACGGGATGGCACCGGGTGGGATATCTACTGATGGACGTGGGACAACAGGACAAAGCCGAAGAACTTTATCTTACTCTACTGGACAAGACCTCGAATCAGGGTGATCAAGGCGCTTATAATCATCAATTAGGGGTCATCAAGAATAATCAAGGTGATTATGAAGAAGCAGTTCGCTATTACGAAAAAGCAATTGAAATCTATGAGAAAACTCTTCCTGAAAATCATCCGAATTTGGCTGCTTCTTACAACAATATCGGGTCGGTGTATGACCACATGACAGAGTACTCGAAAGCACTGTCCTACTACGAAAAAGCAATTGAAATCTATGAGAAAATTCTTCCTGAAAATCATCAGAATTTGGCTACTTCTTACAACAATATCGGGTCGGTGTATAACCACATGACAGAGTACTCGAAAGCACTGTCCTACTACGAAAAAGCAACTGAGATCTTTGAGAAAACTCTTCCTGAAAATCATCCGCATTTGGCTACTTTTTACAGAAATATCGGCTCGATGTATGACCACATGGGAGAGTACTCGAAAGCACTCTCCTATTACGAAAAATCACTTAATATTGGAGAGAAAGCTCTTCCTGAAAATCATCCTTCTTTGGCTATATCTTACAACGATATCAGTGAGGTGTATAAGAACATGGGAGAGTACTCGAAAGCACTATCTAACCTCGAAAAAGCATTTGAAATCTATGAGAAAACTCTTCCTGAAAATCATCTGCATTTGGCTGCATCTTGCAACAATATCGGCTCAGTGTATGACAATATGGGAGAGTACTCGAAAGCACTCTTCTACTACGAAAAATCACTTAGAAGTTGCCTGAAAACTCTTTCTGAAAATCATCCGCATTTGGCTACTTCTTACAACAATATCGGCATGGCGTATAACAACATTGGAGAGTACTCGAAAGCACTGTCATACTACGAAAAAGCAACTGAAATCTTTGAGAAAACTCTTCCCGAAAATCATCCGCATTTGGCTATTTCTTACAACAATATCGGCATGGTGTATAACAACATTGGAGAGTACTCGAAAGCACTATCTAACCTTGAAAAAGCACTTCATATTCGAGAGAAAACTCTTTCTGAAAATCATCCTTCTTTGGCTACTTCTTACACCAATATCGGCGAGGTGTATCACAATATGAAAGACTATTCGATAGCGCTTAATCTATTTCAACGAGCACAGGACATATGGAAACGTTCTCTTCCTCTTAACCACCCTCATCATCAGAAAATACGTGAAAGTATTGAAATTGTCAAGAAAAAGTTGTAATTGTTTGTCTATTTTTTTCTTTCGGGATGAATAAATAATTCCATATTGAATTGAGGGTGCGAGCATGAGTTGTCTAATTCGAATTCGAATATAAATGAGAAATTTAATGTCCAGCATCAATTCGAAAATAAATTAAAAAAACTGTATCCCTTTCTATTAGTTTAGGAAAAAAGAAAAGATAAAGTTTTTCGTGGTTATAAGTATAAGTCATGTATAGATAGGCATACTTCTGTAAGTTTAGGAAAAAAAGAAGATAAAGTTTTCTAATTTATGATGATAGTTCAAAATGAATAATACTATACATGGGATGTTGACTTTTAGGAGCTATCCTGCATTATACAGACATAAGCAGTATTCTAACACGAAATAGACTCAGACCACCTAGTGAATTACGATCAGATTTATCGGTGGGGCAAAAGTTTTGTATTAATTTTGTTTTTGATATAACTCTGCGATGCAATGTCGCAGAGACTTGATTTTGTTTTGTTAGAAAGAGCAAATTGTCTAGTGCAAAAATATATTAAAAAAATGTGATTGGAAAAGTTTTATGAAGGTCACAAAAATCGTAGAACAGAAGCAGTCAGAAAACTCTTCCGCAACTTTTTTGAACTTAGAAAAAATTTCTTACAATTAGACAGGTTACCTTTTTATTTGTCTAATCCGGATTTTATAATGTAAGGATAGATCACTATTATTTTACAAAGAAAAAAAAATTCTCTATATGCTTCATAATGGCCGAAATGAACTCTTTTATCATACGATCTGAATCACCAATTTTTCATCACTGCCTATAGCAGTCGAAAAAATAAACTCTATTTCGTGAGAGAGATTGCCAGAAGCTGGGTGGGTGTGGGGTGGGTGTGAGTGTCGGTGGGTGTGGATGTGGGGTCGGTGTGGGTGTGAGTGTGGGTGTGAGTGTGGGTGTGAGTGTGGGTGTGAGTGTGGGTGTGAGTAAAATGAAGACTCCGACACCCACACCCACACTATGTCATGCAATCACGATTCCGAGTGGGTATTCTCCAGTAGAAAGGACAATTGCTTGTGAGTCTCATCGTGACAGGACCGCAAAAGAGAAAAATACATTCTTCTCCTACTATGTTTCAGTTGCAGTTTAATTTTGGTATTTTTTTTTGTTGCCATCATCAAAATGACAGGTGAAAAAGGACACAAGATCAATCTTTCCAACATTTGTTCCCAGCAAGTTTTTTTTTCTCTTAAATATTAAAAGGTATGGAAGGAATACAGTATTTCAATATTTTCACCAAGTTAAGGCAAGTTTATTTCCTTCAAGATTAGTTGTAATTTCTGTTTATAGGTTAACTAATCAATTAAAACATTTTAATTACAAATAAGACTCTTTTTTTAACCTGATACGAAACAAAAACATACAATGGATGGTAGCAATGATGCGTTAGCCCAAGCAATCATAGAACAATAACTAATGAAGCGCGATGGTGTTAAGGCATATATTGAAGGTGTTAGTCAAGAATTTTTGCGAAATGATAGCTGGGATACATTTAAACCGGATGAAATAGCTGAAGCATCATTTCAAGTTGCAGCTGGAAGAACTGATTTTTCTACTGGAGATGAACAAACTCAACGTTTTCGACAATTTTTATCCATTGCAACCAACTTCTCTTCATTACCATTTGCTCAAAAACTACACAAAATCCCAGAATTAGTAGAAAGTATTAAACAATTACTTGAAAATATGATGAAAGAAGTTCAAGAATACAGCGACATGGCAAATGAACTTCGTGATCTCATTCAATGTTTTGTTCGAATGGTAATACAAGCAAAACATAATGTCAATATGATGCTTCCTCTACTTACAGCTGCTAAATCACAAATGAGAATTGTTCAAGATGTTATGAGTACAGATCCAAGTAAAGCACTTAATGATGTAGATAAAAGAGATATTCAACTTGCTTTGAATCGAATGTCAACTGGAATACAAGGCTTACTCAGCTTAGCTAAATCAGCAATAGCTGAAAGCCAGAAACTAGACGACCGTATACATAATATGACTAATTCAGTTCAATCAAAAAAAGTCACTGTCGAGGAACGATTGGATGAAGCAAATTTTTGTTTCAAATATGCGCTACCAGTCGGTACGATTACAGCCGGTGGTGCAGTTGGAGGACTTGTTGCACCTGAATCATTTGGGGTGTGGGTGTGGGTGTGGGTCCGAATGAGTAGGTCTGTTGCACTCACTATCTCACACCCTGCTAATACGGATCAGTGACAGCAAATAGCAATAAATTCATTTGTTCTTGGTGTCCAAAATCCCATGAACAATTATTAGAAGATCATTTTATTGATGAGTTGATTGTGCGATTGAGACGTCGTTCAAAAGATTATGAATTCAATTGGCAAAATCAATCGGTTTCAATCTTCATTACTATAATTATCATGAGGATATTAGCGATTTGTAATTCGACACGAAAAAATCGAATGGTTGATTTAGTTCTGCAGTGTCGTCAAGTTGGCGACAACTGTATTAAGCTTGCTTCAGAAACTATTCAGACTGGTAGCTACTTCTCATTTCGATCAAATTGAAATTCTACGTGACAAAATAAAAACAATTGCAATTGTATGTCTCATCACATTCTCAGCTGACTCACATCGAATTGAGTGTGTTCTGTCATCAAAAGAACTTGTTATTTCCTTAATTAAGCCAACTAAGACTCTTCATGATATTAGGCCGTGGGTGTGTGAGTGCAAAAGAGCTACACATTCGGACTCCCACTCACAACCACGCCCACCCCACGTCCATTCATATTCAACCACATCCACCCACAACCCGCATCTGCACAAGAGCCCGTCGGGTAGGACCCGGACCCGCTCGGGTCCGGATCCTGATCTAAAAATTTCGTTTTCGCCGGGCACGGGTCGGGTTCCGGGTCTGGAAGTTTTGCTGTAACAGGGTCCGAGTTGGGTCTAGGTCTGAAGAAAACTTTCATGCATACAATGTATTGTGAATTTTTTCAAAATCTTGTTTCCTTTATGAAGAAAAGGAAATTCAAGGTGTTTATAAAATAGATGAAAAACAACAAAACACTTCTTGAATATATTATTGAACCTGATTTATCATTGTGCTTGGATCCAAAAAATTTAAGCGACCAGGTCCGGGTCGGGTCCGGGTTTAACATTTTTCAAACAAGCGGGTCCGGTTCCAGGTTTGAGTCCAACAAATTGTAAACGGGTCCGGATCCGGGTAGAAAAATTTTAAATAATCGCGTCAGGATCGGATTCCCGGTCCAAAAATCTTGGACCCAAGGGGCTCTAACCCGCACCCACACCCACACCCCACACCCTTTTTTATTAATAAAATGATTTGTCGTAGATATCTATCATCTAAATAAGATTGACGAGGTAATGATGATGATGATTGATTATTTTCTAGTGAAAGTTTGTTAATAGTATTGATTATTTGCCATTTATTTCTAGATGATGAATGATTTAATAAATTTGTTGAAGATGATCATTTCGATAATAATTAATAAAATATATTACTGGATTAATATCGGTCTTGAGTAAATTATATTGGTTAATATCAATAAAAAAATGAGCAAACAAAATCAATTATATAACGAGAAAGTTTAAAACATATTGTGATGATGTTGTGAAAAATTCTTTTTTTTTGAAAAGATAAGCTTTATATTTAAAATGAGAATTTAATAGACCATAAAAACCATAACTAATGAGAGAATCAATTATAGATAATAGAGTATTAACTATAAAGATTATTTACATTAGATTATGATCAACTATATTGAGATTGATTTGATTTATCTACGAATAAAATATTCAAATGTTAGTGAATATTCAATTATAAAACATAGATCTTCATTACAGATTAAGGCGAAACCCTTCTTTTCTCAGTTTATCAATATGTAAAGTAAAAGCTGTCATATACTAAAAACTCCTCAATCCTTCGTTTTCGAGCTGATATTGGTGCTTAAATGACTAAAAACTATTCTATAAATCGTCTCCGTTTCTCAGTTGGTGTACGTCCTATAGAGGTGAATGTTCTTTTTAAAGATAGTAGACACTGTTTCGAGTGACTATTTTTTTTTTGGTTTCGTTTCTATCTCGTTCTGTTCGAAGAAAAAAAAGGTCAAATGCGAAGTGCACCTTGAAAAACGTTTATTGTTTTTTTTTGGATGCTCCTTCTCTTATGCGACCCACAAAAGATCAGTGAAAAAAAAAACAAAAGTAACCAGACAAAACTGTCTCTAGTATTTGTAAAAGTCTCAGTCCGATCAAATGTACTGTGCCTGAGAACTGCAGGCGGTTCTCTAGATTTCTGATGAAAAACCAGATTTTTATAAAATGAAGAAAGAAAGAAAAAATCGTGCGGTACCCCAAACGGTAATTATATTATATTTTCCATCCTATTTTTGATTTCTGACTATGTTTCAGTTCTCAATATGTCACCAGTGGAGAGAGGGCATTTCAAAGCACATACGAAGCAGAAAAAAAATTGATATTTTGGGTCGAGAAGGAATGAGGGATCCTCTAAAGAACTTTTATTAATAATAGAGAAGAATATTTAATGCTCGCTCGTCGGTGTTAGTTACCTGCTCTTTGACAATAAGATTTCTCTCAATAGTTTTTTAAAGTCTTTTTGGTAAACGATCAGGAGTCTCGTCAGGGTGAGGACCTCACATAGAATTTATAAGTTTGTTCTATTTGGTTCGATAGATAGACACATATGTGAGAGTAAGGTTATTTTGTTCGAATCGTAGTGATAAAATACTCTAATCGGGGCGTTAGTCCAGTCTCAATGAAATTGGTCTAATTCTGTCTATTATCGATAGTCTTCGTCAAATTGGTCTAGTTAAGATCTTAATAATTTATGTTTTAGTCATATTAATAATAGTGTCATCATGAATTGAATTTGTTGACCTTATAGAGAAAATTTTATTCTGGAAATCTATCCGTATTGTTGATTTAGTAGATGAATGAGACTTTATTTCGTTCTTTTTTAAATAATCTCTCTCGCTTCTATGAATTAAACAAATTATTAATTGAAATAAAACTAACCTAGATGATGTTGTTACTCGTCTATTTAACTTAAAATATTCCATAATATTTCTATTTTTGTCATTATAGATAAATAATCGTTTAAAATAATTAATAATAGTGTAAACTGTAGTTTGATCAATAATATATTGTATTGTTTTAATAAATTAAAAGCATATTTAAATAAAATAAACTACTATAAATATGACCATTAAACGATAATTTATTCATTCACTTAGCAGAATCAATATTTCTACTTCTCTAATATAATAAAGAAAAAAAAATGATGGCATAAAAGTATTGTAACTAATGATGATTATAATAAAAATTTTGATAATTTATCTAATCTATCAATTAAGATGATAAATAATGTTTTTAAATTGATATTTATTGCTGGTTTATTATTATTCAATGGTTTATGTTTGTATATTTATTTGTTTATGATTAAATATATTTATTGAATAATTAATTAACTATCATGATAATAAATATTCTATTGTTATAAAAAAAATCATATATTATAAAATGATTCTCTTCAATAAAATAACATACCATAAAATCAATTCTTGTTGTTGTTATTCTATTTGAAAAATATCTTTTTATTTCATATTGATTTATTTTAAAGTGATAATAAATTGTATATTGGTTTAGTTGAAATAAATTTATATTTAATAATGTTTATATTGTTAAATGATTGATTTATTAAAAATAAATAAAATATAAATATTATATTTCGATAAAGATGATTATCAATTGAAAATAATATAAGATGATTATTTTTTATTATTTCTAATTGATCTTTGTTGTGTGTTATTTATATAATGATGATTGAGTTAAAACTATAAGAAAATCTTCTATTGTTGATATAATATATATTATTCAGATCTTTTTTTTATTTTGAAATTATACAAAACATTTTTTCTCTATTATTAATAATAGATTTTGTTTTTTTTTTTTTGATTTTTAAAATGGTGGAAAATGTTTTATTTTTATATTCATCATTATTTATATTGATTTGATTTGGTAAATAAATATCATAATCAATAAAATCAATTAACAAAATACTTAAATTCATATTTAAAACATATGTGTTGAGTATTTAAAATAGATAAAATAAAATAATCGTTTATTCATATTTATTTAATAATAAAAATGGTTTAGATGAACGATTTCTATATTAATATAAATAATTTATTTGATAAATTTTAATTATAAATTAAAATTTCAATAATATATATTTAGAGTTGTAAAACGAATGAATAATAACAATAATAATAAATTGAATTTGTTAGGTGGAGTTTGTATAATTGATGATCTATGTCAATATTGCCAATGTTTATTAATTAATTGTGAAAAATTTCTTTTTGTTATATGAATAAGGAAATTAATTTTATTCTGATCAATGACATAGAAATAATAATAAACATTCAATTTATTGACAATTTTTATTTTTATTTAATTGAATAGCTAATTAACGATTATAAAATATAGTTGTTTAATTCGATCAATTTATTCTTAATTATGTTTGTTTAGATAAATCAACAATATTTATAAATAATGATTGTTGTTTATCACTCGTTTAAATATAATTTGTTAGAAAATAACGTTGAAAACATTCGTTTTGCAAATTCTGTCTATCATGAATGATATGAACATAATTCTAATAGATGTTTAGGCATTAAACAATCTCATCGACGTCATATAATCAATGCAACATTGATTTCTCAATGTTGGCCTAATAATCAATTGTTTCAAAACTTATTGTTTTTACATTATCTAAGTTATCACTTTGAAAATATTATAGATTACTTCAAGAATAGATTTTCTTTCAATTAGTTTATCAATGAAAAAAAAATGGAAATAACAAATGAACATAATGAAGAACCTAACAAAAAAAAAGTGGTTAATAAGACTAGAAATTGTCCAAAACCAATGACAATGTGCAATGACAATATCCTAAAAAACCAAAAAAAAATTCAATTTGATAGAAATCTATGAAAATATACCGTAATGACGTTAAGGACGAACTTCACCACATATTTCTTTGTCAAATTCATCGCCTTCAATTGAAGTGAACATAATATCACTGTCACCACTTTTTTTCGGACCAGCACGATCACTTTCCAGGCATAATTTTTCAATTAAGTGTTGAATTTTCTCAATTAATTTTTCATTAATTGAATTTAAGATTGACGAATCTTCATCATGTCTGTATATCCACTTTAAATAAATTTTTCCATGGGTTGAATCACATTCATAAAAGCAACGACCATGTTTTTTATTTAATGCATCAATATAATATGAACATAGTAAACAAGGCATTTTTGAAATACCTATTTCAAATTCATTGGAATTATTTGTCTCGACGATCTTGTTTTTTAATAAATAATCGATCACTAAGATTTCGGTATGTAAATGACCAACATAGATAGGTTTTTCGTCAAATGTTTTCATTTGTTGTAAATGCCGATTATAAAATGTTTCACATGTAATATTTTCAAGAACATCACGAATACATTGATTTGATGAATGATATAGATTTGTGAAGATCTTTTCAAATGCTTGTTTTGGAGTAATAAGTAATGGTCGGGTTTCTTCAATTGATGAAATGAGTTTCCATGAAATATTTTTATATATATCACCAACGTGATCTTTTCCCTAAAACAAACATTTTAAAAGAAGATTTATTGCTCGTCTATGAGCCTATGTCTTTTCGAAATAATAAAGACCATTATCAGCTGTTCCATTCGAATGATCAGGTATATATTTAAACAAGCGTGAATCATAAAGTATCCAGACAAGGCCTGTTGCTAATTTCAAGTTCTCATCAGTTGGATTGAGTTGATTTTCAATTAATTGATCACGAGCAACTAAGAATTGTTCAAGTGTGTCGAATAGAAATTGAACATAATCTTTTTCGGTGGAATTTTTTGATATTAAATAGATTTTTTCAGTCATTAATGGACGAAGTCTGTATAAATCTGGATTGGATCGAAGTTCTTCAATAAAAGCACTTTTTTCATTTGTATTCCATTGAACCATTTTTCTTAATTCATCAATGATCGTAGTTTTTGGACCGACGAAACGCTTGATGATTTTCTTCGAATTATATTCGAATATAAGAGAATCCAATTGATTTCGAGCGTCTTTTGTTAGTGTCTTTTTGTCTTCATTAAAACATAAATTGGCATAAATTCGAATCTGACGGAAAAATCGATCGAAATATCGTTGATCAGTTGTTGTGATTGGTTCATTTCGAGCAATAAATACAATTTTATCAGCTTGATGAACATAAACAGCTGTATACGTGGCGTTTCCATTTAAAATAAGAGCAAGACTGGAAAGAAATTTCGATTTTTCCGTGCGATTATTTGGTCGTATTTTGCCGTGAGAAAAAGATAAACATTCACAAAGAAGAAAGTGTTTGAAAACTAGGTTTACGACTCTACATATGTGAAATTGTTTTCCGAAAGTAATATTTGAAATATTCTCAGTGAAGGATTTTAAGTTTCTTTTATTCATTTATAGCATACCTATGTGCTAAATAGATGTTTCCTTTTTTTGTTTTGCTTGACTACTCAGAACATACTTCCAATCACATGTATATATGATCGACAGACATAGATAATTAGTTGAATTCTCTTATTTTTATGTGCGTAATTCTTATATTCAATATATGTTGCATATGACAATAAATCCGTATTCATCGAAACTAGCCATATAGTTTAGTAGAGAAATAAGACTAATTTTATCAGAATTGTACTCCTGTTTTCATCTGCAGAAAAGTTATATTAAAACTAATCACATGACTGAAATCTTTCGGAAAATTAATTTCTTTTCTTTGCGATCTTATTTAATTTGTCAGATTTTGTTTAGTTTTAATCAAATTCTGATTAAAATGAATCGTTGTCTTATGAATCGATTGAACTTTCAATAGTGTAATATCGAATTCAAGCCTCCCGAAAGATGGGTATGTGCGTAGTTCATTTCCTTACTCATACCTACATCCGTCTACAGCTTGAAATGAGAAAAAATTAACACTACTATAAAACTTAAATATACCTGATATCGACGATATGTGTCAGTAATTTCATTCAGTCTTGCACACACATTACGGATTGAACATAAAAGTGTGAAGTCATCAAGCTGGTCTAAAATTCGATAAACAAGTTCAATTGGTAGCGCCAGAAGAGATGAAGGAATTTTATTAGCCATTAGTGTCGTTTGCTTTCGAATTGTATAGTTCGTTAAGATAAATGTCTTTTGAAATTTATTTTTTCTTATGTCGATGTTTTTATGAATCATAAGTGATCAAGTTGCACATGGTTGTGCAGTTTGTTCTTTCATAAAGTACTGAAATAATTACAGTGAGACGTGCGCAATGAAAAATGTAGCATACTAAAGTAAATATAAGTCTTTTTTTTCTCACTCGTTATTCATGCTTGATTTTCGAATGTACACTACTGCTTCCACGTCACAGATTCTTTTTCTTTTTTGAATACATTTCAGACGTCCTTCAATTCTTTTTGCCTTTCGCAATACAAACCAAGGAAAAAAAATGAGTAAAAATTTGAAAAACAAAACCAATAAAACATCGAAGATCAAGGAGGTTCGCTTGGAATTGGATGTGAGTGATGCGAATGTAGATACCCACATCCAGTTAACATCTTTTTTTTGTGATAAAATTTTATTAGATCTTATTTAGAGAAAAATGAAATAATCTAATCAAAATAATCATGTAAATTTCTCAAAGGGTACAAAATACATTATCTTTTTAACTTAATTTCATAGACTCTAATAAAGCGCTTCCCTGCAATATGGCTGCTTTTTCCGAACTTGTTCGAATTGCAACGTTAGGTGTTGTATTTGAAGTTACTTGCAGTTCCGAGGCTTACATGCTGAACAAGAGAATATCATTTGATAACTGTTCAACAACAATCGAATAGAAAAAATCAATACTCAACACATAAACGAGTTCCTACAAGTTCAATTTCTCATTAGTTCTTGTTTTTGAGTAAAAGACGAAAATATGCATCTCATCTTCATGTTTTATGCCTATGCATTCAGGGTGTCACACATTCACAAACCAGAGGCAGTAATCTAGTAGAAGACAAAGTTTCCTATTGAATGAACTTAAAAATGAAGTCTCTCAGAATTCAGGAGATATTCTAAAAGCCTAAAAACATTTTGGTTCAGAGTATGCTATATGTTATACGAACAGTTATAAACTTGTAGAAAAGCAGCAAGTTACTGATTATTTTTCAGATATAAAATTAAGAATTTTCTCATAGTTTTTGTCATTTTTTGTGCTGCGAATATTTCTTCACATGAATTGAATTGAAATATTGGAGTCTAGTAAATTTGTAAAAACAAAAACAAGATTTGGTGTGAGACAAACAGCCTTTTGATAAAAAAAGATACAATATAGTTCCCTATTGTCAAAATATATTTTAGAAACTGATGATTCTGTTGCTCATCTCAAAAGACGTATTTCGTCGATTAAACTGATACTGCTATTCATTATAGTTGTTTTTCTTCTTTTCTATTTATATTGCATGAAATATATCGAATCAACATAAAAAATATCTATTCACCGGTTAAAAAAACAACATATCATTATTCATCTTTTTAATTTTTTTTTTTGTAAAAGATCTAAGCGTTCTTCTTAACACCTGCGTTGATGTGAATTTATAAAATTTAATATTATTTTTAAGACTTCCTTATCGTAACTCTTCCTTTCAATATTTATAGAAAACAATAGAATTTTACGTGAAAAATACAATTATATTATTTGTAGCACTTTTGTTATGCTCGGATATAAAGAAAATAGTGAAGAATACTAAAGTCTTACTTATAGGAATATGTTCTACTTAGCCTGAAAGATCAATATACTGATGAGAAAACATCAAAGATATCTTACTTAATGATCTACTAATTTTTCTTATTCATACGAGTTTTACAAATTTTTTGGTAATTGCTTAATAATTACATTTTGAATAAATTGTATATCCATCGAGAAAATTTCCGTGTATAATTTTACTTAGTATCGTATGTGCGACTTTTGTCTATAGATATTTATAAATCTATATTCATTATTCGATTACGAGTTTCTTTTCTATTTTCGAACATTCAGCGGAGAGAGCGAACAGAAAATTTATTTCTTATCTATACATCTTTCGTAATGAAAATCTGATTGATTGAAATTATTTAAATAAAATTTAATCACTTAAAAGTAATGATGTTAAAACAATAGATTTAAATACAATTTCTTAACAGGATTTTTACATTAATTTTTCTTTCTTCATTTTCTGAAGAAATCAACTTTTTTGGGAAAATTATATATAAATATTTTTCATTATTAATATTATTTATTGCACCTTTTCCTTTAAAGTCGAAATATTTCTAAGAATTGAAACGTGATTCATCCAATGAAAAAACAGTTCATCAATTGATACTTCAAGAATTTCATAATTAAAACTATTTATTAGTGGGCACGCATGGATTTCAGACTTAAATGAAATTCGAACTAATGAAAGTCTTTAAAATGTTTCTTATAATCATTTAACAAAGAAAATAGGTGTTATAAAAAAAAACAAGCATTTTATAGTAGACAAGAAAATATGTCATTTTTCGTTGGAATGATCCTAATCAAGTCGTTACTTCCAACCAGAAAAAAGAATATGCAGTAGAAAATATTCATTCATTCCAAATTAATTATTAGAGTGTGGGTGTGGGTATAGGTGTAGCGCGTGTGAAGACAATATACACACTCATATCCTCAAGTAGCTTAATACTTTTACATTCATATTGAGTTAACAATAGCATAATTCAAACACGTATTTTTATAAATGTAAGTTGTCGGTAGATATATGCTTTCAAGTCCAATCTGAAAACAGAGTAAGACGTTTGTTATACATTAAACATCCGCGAAACTCTACAAGTTTCGCCTGATACCTTTTTTGTTTTCAGTATAGCTGTTATAAAGATTCTTTTTGAAAAGTCATGATGTTTTTACAAAAGGATCGTTACTGGTAATAATGTACAGCTTTCACTTTTTTGAGCATTTAAATATTTTTATGATCGCTCATGTAATCATTAAACTCATACAATCATCGGTAATATTATTTTCAAGAATATTAATTTATATATTAGTTATGAAAACAAAAAAAAATGATTAAATTTAAATATCGATTTCGTCGTATCTTCTGAAAAGTTTGGAAAAAATGTCTTATGATACGATAATATAAAACATAATAGATTAAATTGGAGTGTTATTCAATATCCAAATTTTTGTATGAATATTTCACATCAAATTTATGTAGATGATCTTTTGTTGGTCCACCACTACTAACAAGTTTTGCATAATCATATGGTAATTTTTTTCGATAGTTATCTTTATCTTTCTCTGTCATATTTACAAATTCAATATCCATATGTTGAACAATTAGGACTACTAATATTTTAATTTCATTTATAGCCCAATATCGTCCAGGACACATATGACTGCCACAACCAAAGAGCATAAGTGAAGGAGCTTTTGGTTCATTGAGTTTTTTGACAAATCGATCATATTTATATTCATATGGATCAGGACCAAATAAATTCGGATCAGAATGTTTTGAAAATGCTGGATAAACAAGCATATCACCTTTTCGTAAACCAATTTTCGTTTTATCTATACATTCAATAATTGTATTTGCTGTTGCCTGACGTATTGAATTAGCAATAAGTGTACGACGTATGGATTCATTTATACAACTTTCTAATACTTTTAGCTTAGCTAATGTTTCTTTGTCATAAATGAATGATGATGATGGGTGTGGGTGTGGATGTAGATGTGGGTTTGGGTGTGGGTGACTTTAGAATGAAGACTAACACCCACTCCGACCACAACACTCACACCCACCCACATCCACCCACACCCACACCCTTCTTCTTTTTTAGACATCTACAAACTACCGTATAACTTTTCATCGTTTACACAAATACGGTCTAGTTACCTCAACAACAATGATTCTTATACTCATGTATTTTTTATGTAAGACAAACACATGCATGTTCTCTTTCACTATCAATGAATGCAACGAAATTCGTGCGACACCGAATGTCATCAATGAATCATTACTAACAAATAAGCAATACAAAAATTATTTTTCGATCAATATATGGCACAGCTCTCATGCTGAAAGAATGTAAAAAAAACAGTAATTGACTCAAGATATCAAAACATAAATAAATATTGAGTTTTCTGAAAACAATTAAATGAATTTCTTGTTTATCTAGGATCATGAACTTCTTTCCATAGTATTTTAAACTGTGACTCATTGATGAAAAGTTGACATAAGTGGATTTTCAATTTCTCTTTTCTCATATTCAACTTTTCCAACATGTAACCGGTTAAATATAAGTTGAACAAAAAGACCAGACTCATGACAACGCTATACATCTACAAACGAGCATTGCAAAACGCCATTTACCTTTGATTTGTTATTCATCGAAATGTTACCTTCAGTACATCAAACCCATTCGCTGTTTGGTTTCATTGCTTAACTATTTTTGTTCTCTCTATGTTCGTACATTATTCATAATGTGGGGGCTGTCGTAGGTAACGGGTAAGAAAAGAACAAGTAAAAGGAGCCATTACTCATCGTTGAAAGCATTATAAAACAAAACTAGACAACAGTATCATTCATTTTCAAGAAGAAAAAGTGGTGTGCGTTGCGTTTCTTTTCATTCAGTCTCACTTGCTGGTTGTGGTAAGTATTACATGCCCATAATTGGGTAAAAACGAAGTGCTCTGTGTATTGTACATTGAAGAGTAAACGAATTTCAGAAATCAGTAGTATGAAAAGAATGAATTTTATTGAAGAATGATAACACTTTTTTAACATTATTTGAAGAATCCTTGTCACTCTGTTCACTATTTACCATAACAATTGTGAATAGGGATTGTTCATTGTTTAGGTCGTTTACAGAGAATAAATCCCACAACAAATTATCTGATACGCTGCGTCAACCAAATGTATAGTTTCAATATATCGAGCTTAGTCAAATATCTTTTTATTCAACAACAATATTGTGAGAATCTCGAAACTCATAGTGGTAGTATCACCGAAGAATTTAAGTTGATTTTGTAAGAATATTAACGCAGGAGAACTAAGCCGTGACATAGTCACGGGATAAACACAGTGCTCATGCGCTCCCATTAGCCAAACAAAAATCTGAAACAGTTGGGTGTCGCCAAGAAACCTTTCTTTGAAACAAAGCATTGCCTTGCTGCTGGCGCGCATTTCATCTCAAAGGTTACTAGCTAAGTTCTTGGGAGTAGAAGTGGCATTGGTGTGAGACTTTAAATAGTTAACCGCAGCTACATCTACCTGACATCTGAAGCCGCGCACCACATCAGCCTTACGCGGGCACCCACTCCTGGATAGTCTTCACACTTATCAGTAGCTGACGCTATAGCAACAGAGAAAATAATTACCGAGACTGTAAAACTCAAGCTTCTCTAGACCACGCTTTAAGATGGTTAGAAATCGCGAAGGATCATATGCATCGGTGTTTATGGTCTCAAACCATCGTATATGACTGTTCCGATAAAATCAAAGATCTTATACTCAAAAATGCTTTAAAAATAAGGGACATTTCAAAAAGTCTTAAAAGGTTATTTTTATTTTGCCCACGACATTGATTGATTGAGTAGCTGATGTTTGGTGATTGAAAGAGAAATCAATCAGAGTTAGTGTAGCTTCTGTCTCCATAGTCACAGATAACATAGTAGCCTATATTACTGTCAAAGATTGTATTTTGTGATGGATTTTGGTATCTTTGTGTGCGTGGGCTATTTGAAGTGGCGTATTGTTAGACAGGTACTGCTGATAATGCTATGTAGATTAGTTTCTTGTAAAAATCGCTCTATTCGTTAGTATTTGTTGCTAATGGAGTCTTCGTTAAAATCATGAGTGCTTTGACCCAACTCTATTTCGGGATCTCTTTACCATGCTCGTCTGTTTTTAAGAAAGATCCACCTACTTCTTAAAGCTGGTATTTTGAAGTCGATTCATAGATGATATCATTTTTTTTTGTTGTTTCCCAACTGTAGATGTGTCAATCACTACTACTATCTACTCTGTGAGTTGAATAAGCTGAAATATGTTAAGCAATGATAGATATCGAGAGAAAACATATAAAACAATGTTAGCGCAATCCCTTGTGAGATTAAAAATATGAAACACGATTGATCTATTGTAATTATTTAAATGGATATTATTTTGTTCCATTTTTTGGTGATACACTAGTACCTAACCGTTAATCTGATGCTTTAGAACTACAGTTTTTGTCATGGTTTCTGGTGGCTTCGTAGATTCTATGTCATCCTCTATAAATATGACAGGGAAAGAGGAGGAGGGGTTGATTATATCCGAAATTTCTACCCTAAACATTGCAACAGGCGTTTCAGATGATATTTTACAAAAACGGCTGAAAAAATCCTCTTGTAATCGAATTATTAATACTAAAGAATCGGTTTTTAATAGATGCTCGTCCTGACTGTGTTATGTGTCGAATGCACTCTAGTATGTGGTACACACATATACAAAGAGTGTAAAATGGAGTCGAAAACACTAAAAACAGATACTATTTTTTTCGATTAGTCATACTCCAAAATGAAGTTTAAATTCATCTTACGCTTCTTAGTTTTGTTACTAGAAGCAACTGTAATGCATGGTGGCATCATATGGGCAGCGCACACGTATGTCTGAAAAAGATAAGAGAAATCAATGGTAATCTGATTAGTAATACTTAAAAGCCGCCGCTTATCGATTTAAATTAAAGTCGATTTAAATCATTTATTGCAATAAAGTTAATTGAGTAAATTCGTTTTAGCAGCTGTTTTTAGATATGTTCTTGCAAGAAGTAGCACTGATTAATCGGTTAGAGGTTATTGATTTCATCATCTTGAACGAGTTAGGTTTCGAGTCATGACTTATCGTTTGCTAAGAATGTGGATATGAGTATAGCTCCTGAGGAAGAAATCTACACTGTAATCTACATTGTAAGCTGTCCACAAGAACTTCGTCCGCACCCATATCACACACACAGACTTCTTGACTTTGTTGAAGTTTAGAGAAGAGTAGTTCGCAAGTGTTGGTTACTGTTTTATTGCGCAATATGATAGAAAACAACGATCCTTTCGTAAGCCAATTACAATTGACTCTTGACATGGCTTGTAATATTATCCGATGAGCAAACTCAGTCGCCATATTATTACGCTGGTCGCTAACATTAAATTGTTACGGTCATCCGTTTCAGTGGCTGACATATGTCTTAAGCCACCATTCATGGTTGCTGTAAACCACTGTCACAAACAGCTGCTGTTGTCCGTCGTAATTGGTTGGTACATAGCTGTATACCTCCGAGCATGATTAACATTGGTATAGTAAAATAGTTTATGGCTTCAAGTGCATTATTTTATGAATCGTATTATAAGTACACTATTCATGAGAAATGATCTAAATCTAAAAGTATCTTTAGCATACGAATAAAGTTCGACATTTTTCTCTAGAGTCAGATCAGACCGGTTTCAAGACTATGTTCGAGACCGATATGTTGAAAATGTTATCGAAACGATCTTATTTCATATATTTCTAGGAACATCTGCCGTAGGAAATATTTCTAATATTGGTACGGTGCAGCTGGCATAGGAGTCAGGAATTACACGAATTGTCAATTTCGTTCTAAATGCTAAAGTAATAAATAAGCTTTAGTTGAATTGTTTCAAAGTATGATCAAGTAGCACTGACATTGAATGATGTACTCAACTAAAACTTTGTAATACCAATTAATTTGCATAAGTTAATGCTGCAAATATAATCAATAAGTACATATTATTCGAAATGGCTAAATATATATGCTCATTTCAGGTTCATGATCGAGAGCACATTTTCAAAGCTATAAAAAGAATTAAATATTCGATGTTCATATATAACTTGATTGTTTCCACGTCTTTAAGTTGGAGGAGTTCACTTAGAGTCTGACACCAAGCAGGTTTATTTTGGAAAACTATTTTGACTATTTATTTCTAGAGAAAGAAACGATATTGAAAATGTATTCAAAACAAGAAAATAAAAATGGTAAGTATTGATGGCTTTTCATGTATTTTTAGAATAATTTATGGTATATTTGACACCATTCATCGAAAGATTTAATACAAGGAATCCTTTTGTCTAATTGAAGCACTTGTTTTTCTTTCATTAGATAAATCTTGGCTTAAATGTCAGTTTCATGATGCCGATCAAACATCGATCAAGAAGCCTGATGAGCTCGAAATCAGCCAGAAGGATTTTGCTCCGTTATCAGCCAATAGCGACATGCCGTTGGATCGTATCCAAGGTTCACTGCTTGGTTTGACTATCGGTGATGCTCTTGGAGCTCATGTTGAATTCAGACCCAGCAGTTATTTGGCTGCTAATCCAGTTAAAGATTTAGTAGGGGGAGGAACGTGGGGTCTAAAACGGGGACAGGTTAGGAAATCTAACAATAATAAATATATAACAGTTATCTTCTATAGTTTACCGACGATACTTCTATGGCACTTTGTCTAGCTAATTCATTAATTGCTTGTCAAGGTTTTGTTCCGTACGACCAATTACTTCGCTACAAGTGGTGGTATCGACACGGCTACATGTCATCGACTGGGCATTGTTTTGACATCGGTGCTGCCACCCGAGAGTCGATCGAAGAATTTGAAACACGTCAAAGAAAGTTTGCATATGATCATAACATTCTGTTGGAAGAAATGGACGCTTTATCCAACTGTGATCTTCTACAAGCATTCGATGTGTACTGTAGCAAGGAAGGTGTGGCTGGGAACGGAGCTCTCATGCGTCTGGCACCTGTACCGCTCTTCTTCTGGCAACGTCCGGAAGTAGCTGTTGACTATTCTGGCATTAGTGGAAAAATCACTCATGGAGACAAAAGAGTTTATGATGCATGCTGTTACTATGGAGCCCTTATTGTAGCTGCCCTTAAGGGAGCAACGAAAAATCAATTGACTAGTGAAACATTTTACGATGAGCATCGGGAATGGTTTGGTGATGAAGACCTTCACACTGACATAATAGCCATCGCTCGCGGTTCATACAAGAAATCAGGCGGCTATCAAGATGGAATTCGAGGTAAAGGATTCATTGTGAATGCTCTGGAAGCTGCTTTGTGGGCTTTTTGGAGTGATAAAGATTCCTTTGAAACAGGTGTACTTAATGCAGTGAATCTTGGTGATGATACAGATACAACAGCAGCCATCTATGGTCAATTGGCGGGTGCGTACTACGGCTACAAGAAACTGCCAAAAAAATGGTCAGATTGTATCTATGCCAAAGATTTCATTCTATGTGTAAGCAGTTGGGTTACCTATGAAGGAGAAATATGGTTCAAAAATCAAAAAGTTCCTGGCATAAGCACACTTATAAATTCTTTCGATAACACTTTGCACAACTCGAGACCGGGTGACTCTATCAATTTGACAACACAACGCATGCGCGCAAGCCTTGAAGCCACTTCAGGTCTAGACATAGCGTTAGGCACAATTGTACGCAAAGCTATCGATCCTAATGGTCGTATTGGAGATTTTTATGATGGATGGCAAGATTGTGTTGTAAGTTCAGTTGGTATAAAATTGAACATAATGAAAGGCTACTCGAATCCACCGATAAAGTGTGAGATAAAAAGTGGCGACAACCTTGAAAATCAGAATGTTCTTCGATTCATTGATTTTTCTGCTGATCTTCGATTGAGTGTGTTATCAAATTTGGTTGATTTAACAGGTATTGCTTCGATTGTTAACTATCCATTTGTAATTGATGAATGCACTCGCATCTTTCACTACTCTCATCTCATTCGAAATCAAGCTTTCCCAGTCAAGCAAAAAAATCAGAAAACGCGTTTAAACACTATAAAAATCGTGAACGTTTTCGGATGCTAATCGCGGTTCCCATTTGTGACCCAGAAACGTCCAAAAAGAACCAACATGAAAACGGTAAAATATTTACCAGCATTTAATATTATGCACGAAACACGCCTACTTCTTTTGTAAAATAAACTGTAGATAAAAACTAACCGCGCACGTGTCCATCTTTTTCTAACGTTTCCGGATGCCAATCGGGAACCGCGATTGTGCACGTAACCCGACCAGTAATGTTAGGCGTAAAAACGCTGAATCTCTACCTGCACACATTTTTTCACGGTTTACATTTTTCGTAATTTCAAACATGTACTCGACATCATTCTAAAGAGGTTCTCACCCCCAATCGGGAACCGCGATTGTCAGCATCACGCGACCATTAAACAGCTTCGTGACAACGCTATAATTCACCTTAGAATGCACGTGACATCGTTCAAACGCTATACTGTTTCAAAAGTACACTCATCTTAATTTTCGAGACACATCTAGCTCACGATCCACAACTATGATTGTCATCATGCGACTCCTAACAAAAAAGACATCAAAACGCTCACTTTTCAGGACGCGAAAATTCTAGCACGACTATATCGTACATTCTCGAACGTACCTTACGTGTAACTAACTCTTATCACCATCTGACCATCGACAACCCCAAATGCCATCCAAATATATCGCTTCTTCATATAGTGGCCGCTTAAATCGGACATGTCCCGATCTATACATATAAGAATAAATTCTGTACTAGTTTCTAAAATAGATTGTTATACACCGTTATCATTTTCCTTCATCTGAAATTCGATCTAAAGATAGAAAATAAAGAGTGTTTCATAAGTTTCGGCCCCATTTTTATTTTTATTTTTATTCTTGCTATATTTTAAGGTAAAGAGGCAGGGTCTATATATTTTTGAAGAGCAGTGTCTAAGCTATCATCCAATATAATTTGAGTCGAATTTGCATGAAATCAGTAAAAGTACTAAATCGATAAAGATATTGAAAAAAACTTGATCAAAATCAGATTTTCGAATATTACAGAATTTCGTTTGCTTGTCTTTAGTAGGTCATATCTTTATCACGACAAAAGCAAATAGTCTGAAACTTTCAATGTAAGTAGAGCTCATTTGGATCTACTATCCATGAAAATCTAATTCATTTTGATCTTACTAAAATAAAGTTATTCTCGACATATTGACCATACCAATTTTAGATTTTTCAGACTCTCTAGTGCTCACCATGGAGATTCCCAAATTTTCACTATTTCGAGGATAACTCTGTTTTAGCAGAAAAAAGATTGATGAAATTTTTATAGGTAGTAGATCCAAATGGGCTCTACATACATTGAAAATTTAGGACTATTTGCTTTTGTCGTGATAAAGATATGACCTATTAAAGACAAGCAAACGAAATTCTGTAATATTCGAAAATCTGATGTTGATCAAGTTTTTTTCAATATCTTTATCGATTTAGTACTTTTTCTGATTTCATGCAAATTCGACTCAAATTATATTGGATGATAGCTTAGACACTGCTCTTCAAAAATATATAGACCCTGCCTCGTTACCTTAAAATATAACAAGCATAAAAACCAAAATAAAAATGGGGCCGAAACTTATGAAACACTCTTTATATTGCATCAGTTTCTGAGATAGATTATTACATACCTTCAACATGATACTTGATTTTAAAGTTCGATATAAATATAAATACATATATAATATCAATTTCTAACATACATTATTACACATCTTCACCATTGCATTTGGTCTCGAATTTCATCTCCCTTCAAACGAGAAAATATTTTATTACTTTCTAAAATGCATCATTACATATCTTCAACATTGTACTTGATCTCAACATTGATCTAAATATAAACCAGAAAACATTATATTAGTTTCTAACACACAAAGCTACATACCTTCAACATTGTTCTTCATCTGGAGTTCGATCTAAATATAAACAAATAGTATATTAGTTTCTAAAATATATGGTTACATACCTTCAACAATGTACTTCATGTCATGTCGAATTTGATATAAATATAAAAAGATAAATATTATATTTGTTTCTGAAGTAGAGTGTTACATACCTTTTTCATTGTACTTGATCTCGAAATCGATCTAAATATAATTAAGGAAACAATATGTTAGTTTCTAAAATACGTGATTGCATACCTTCAACATTTTACTTTTCGAAATTGATCTAAATATAAATTAGAAAATATTCTATTCGTTTTGTAAAATACNATGTAGGAATTGTTAGAATGATAATAACAAAACCCATACCAATATCAAACCGACACCCACACCCCTAACTGCAGGAAAGAAGAAAGAGAAACATTTGCTGGTGTGTATCGATAGAAAAAGTTTTGTCGTTCTTGTCTGACAGTCATATAGACACTAATGAAGTGTTGTGCAGACGAATCAACACTAGTGAAAATGAGCGAAAACTCTGGATTTTAACGTATATCATATGAAGAAAAGTTTCATCAGTTTTAATCATATGATAATCATTACAACCAATGGGCCGTACAATAGAAAACAAAGCTTACTCACACATTGCTGATTACCGAATAATATTGCAAAAAGATTGCTACAATTGAAACAATTGATGTTGACAAAGAACACTTTACTTATTCAAAGTGGACCATTTTTGAAGGCACACGAAGACTTAACTGTTTCTATCCACTACTTCCATTAAGAATGCGAAACTGCAGAACAATATTTAATATTCCTTGGTTTCTGTCAACGATTTCAGCATGTGAATCGATTGTCTCGATAAGCACGATGTGTCGTAGTATTTTCTGAAAGGACTAAAAACATTCGATCAATCCTTGGTAGGATACAAAATTATGTTTGAATTAATGTTTTACTCTTAGGCTAAAGCTTATACTTAAATGATCATAAAAGATCGAGGAACTATAGAATTAGGGATACTGTTCCATGTTTTCTCCACGTTTTCTATAGAGTTTGGATAATTTTCTTACGAATCATGTTAACTTTTACGATATGTACGTTTGATTTATCAGTGCTTATTATACAATCACAACAACATTACACTCACTTCTTCGTCATTTTCATCTTTTGTGTAAAGTGCATATTCTCTTTCCCTTTGGTATCGGTTAGTCGGTGCACGTAGAAAGTGTACTCATTGACTTTTACCAATAACAGCTACAATTTTGCTCGATACATATGTATGAGTTGATTCTCCTTTCTTACCTATTTTCTTTTAAATTATGTAATTGATTATACACCCTTTCTCGTCATCTACATATCTATTTAAATAATAATTTACTATTTTCATTCGATCGATTTATTCATCGTGTCCTAGAAGAATAATTCTTACCTCAAGAGATCAACAACAGCTACAATCCCATTCTACATAGTTTTTTGTTTCCACTACTATTGATTCATAAAATATGAATAATAGCTGAAAAAAGGTATGACTGAACAACAACTAAAATTCATATATCATTTATTAGGAAAACCATTCTGAATATTTTACACATGCTTAGTATAAACCTGAAAGTAAATGCTATACTACTACGATTGTCTTTAATTGCAAACGCAAGACTACCTGAAGCTGATTGAGAAGAACAGTGCAGATAGTATTGATTTGAAAGCTTGCAAATTAAGTACTGAGATACCATTGTTGAACAAATAGTATCAGATTTTGATAGATTCTAACAGTTAAAAATGATACGAGAAAGTGTCTTCACCTTAGCCGCCGATAGTGTATATTTAGAAGACAGAAACAGATAACATATCCAGGTGTATTATTTGGAATCGAAGACTTCACATTCAAATAGTTTACATAAACCATTTAGATCGAAGTCTGATCTGTGTAGGCTGATTTTTATAGTGATCTTTGAATCACTAAATAGATGTGTTATGCTACCTCTCGTATATTTGTAGCAGAACGTGCCAACAAAACATCGGGTGACGATGCGTCTTCTCTCTACTAACTCTTCGCAGTTGCTTTGGACCGTAACGAACCTTGTATGTACATTGTGGACTATAATAATCATCGAATAAAATGTTTTCCTATTACCTAGATCGTCTAACTTCGATCGAATTTATTCATTTATGCACAGGATGAATGGAAAACATACTATTCTTTCCTGTAACCAAATACAACTGAAACTTTTTTTATCATCAGTTACATTGACTAAAGCGAATAATCACAAAACAAAATGCAACCGATTCTGATGTTGTGTGAAATGTATTGTTTTCCATGTTGTTGCTAATTTCAAAAAAATCTCATATAAAAATTTTTAAAACAATAATCAGATTCATTCTGATTTTTTCCATTTCATTGGAGAAAATTGATCAAGTGTGAGTCTGTTCATTACAGCCAGATATTCACAGCGACCCGCACTCACACCTACTCACGTGAGAAATTCAACATGAAAAAAAAAAGAAATCATTAATTATATTGTTAGACAAAGCAGTCACATACAATAAACTGTAAAGACAAAGGAAACACCATAACAACTCAAAAAAGAAAATCGACAGATTAATTAATGATCAGATTTATGAAACAAAAGAAGAAAGATAATCTTATCGCCGAAATTGAACAAGATAACGAAGTGCTATTTGTGATTCATCAAAAACAATATATTCGTTGTATGCATATCTATAATAACCATAATATGAATCTGTACGCTCGATCAATTGACCCAATGGCATTTGAACACCTAGAATATTTCATATCTTAGAACAATGGAAAGAAAATCTTAGCAGAAACAAACCATAATTTCGAGTAATAGTATATCGAGGATCCGGTATTTTATGACCATTAGCTTTACGACTTTGGTATTGACTTAAATTCAATGGTTCATTTAAGTTTTCATTATTAATACCGACTTCTTGAGAACGACCTAGAGCCACTTCACAAAGAAGCATAAAACAACGTTCGCCATCATCTAGTGTAACACCTGAACAATATGCAAGACTTTTAGCAAAAGCATCGGCTGTATAGATTCCCTAGATAAACAAAAAGAACACATTTTATACAGATCTATTCTGATACATCAAACAACTATTTCGATCTATAACCTTTCCGAATAAACTTCCAGTAGCTGTTGCACATAAAGGTCCAACTAAGAGTCCTAAACATAGAATAGATGAATTCTTTTACCAGTAGAAATATTTTGAATAGAAATTCTTACCTCTTGTAAGAATACTAATTAAGTTACAAATATTAGTTCCATGCCATAATAAATAATGATTTTCAAGGTTTCGTTGAAATACACGTTCATCATCGTTCGGTCGAGCAATTTTAAATATTTGTTCAACTTGAATATTAGATGCACTTGTCCAAATATAACGTAAAATAAGTTGTGAATCAATATCATCTTTATTCATGGCTTCAAATTGACAATTTATTGATTTGTATAGATAATCTAATGGTGATACTCGATCTAAATTTGCTTGAGCAGCTAGAAGAATTTTATAGGATAATTCTAATTCAAGTATATCATCAAGTTTTTGTTCTTGTGCTTTAACAGCTTGTTCACTATCAATGATAGGTAATCTTTCATCACCATAACCCTGTAAAGGTATTATACTATAGTATTCATTTGTAAGTTTACCAATAGAATTAAGAATAAGTTTGAATTGACTTCTTTGAATATCATCTATAGGTGATTGAGTATTTGATTGTATTTTATCATTTTGTTCAGTACACATAGTTTGTTGAATTGTTAATTTAAGTTGTTCTTTTTGTTCGATATCTTTTTTTAATTGTACTAAAATATCACGTGCTTTTTGTAGATTTTCAGGTTTTAATTGAGAAACAGGCATCCATTCAACATCTAATTCAGTTTTATTAAGATTTACTCGTATAGTTTGAGGATTTAAAAATGTTTTGAAAAGAATTTTATAAGTAGATGATTGTAATTTTGATGGTAAATGTTGATTATCATCTTGTAATTGTTGAAAATCAATTGGAACATTTGTATATTTTTCTAATTGACGTTTATTTAATTGTATTAATGTATATTTTTTTGGTTTATTTTGAAATTGATCTGTATTTTCCCATAAATTACCAGTTTTTTCACGAAATATTTTACAAAATTCTTGTCGACATTCATCAAATAATGAATAAGGTGTTAATTGATATTGTCCATCACCATCACCAATACGTCCCCAACGTGTAAATAGAAGATAAAGATTTGTTTTACTTTTATGTTTAATAATTTGCATACGGTAAAAATTATATAAACCAATAAGACCATAATTTACATCAGTTATAGTTAAACGAACATCATAAGGTTCATTCTTTTGCGTGTCAATTAATACTTCTCCTGTTTGACTCATATTCGATAATGGATCAACTTGATAAGCTGTATTAATAATTGTCGATGGATGAAGAGATATATATTGATCAATAAATTTTTGAGCATCAGAATAATAATCCGGTTGATCAAGAAGTTTTTTATTTGGATCATTAATAGAAAAACGTTGAATAATTTCATCAGTTGAATTTAATTGTTTGTCATTGATTAATATTCTTAATTTTTCAGGTAAATGTTTATAACCATTCATAATACTATATTGATAAGGTGATAGACCATTGAGATCTTGTTTAGTTAATAAAGCACCTGATCTATGAAGTAATTCAAGTAATTCAAGATTATTTACATAAGAACCATTAGGAAATGGTTGAACTAGATAATGAATACATGTACGACCAAATATATCAATAGCATTTATATCAATAGCTGATGTTACAGTAAATGTATTTGATTCATCAATAGTTTCACTATTATTTGAAATTTCATCATCATCATCATTTGTTGAATTTTCTGTAACACCAAGAAAGAATCCTTTAGATTTTGGTTTTTTTCGATTTTGTTCTAATTGTAAACGACGTTGATATTTTGAATATTCATTATTATTATCATTGGGATCATAATCTTTATTAAAAAGTAATTTTACTATATCAATATTATTCTAGAAAAAAAAAAGAAAACAAATTGAAAATTTATAAAATTTCAATTTTTTTCATTTTACCTGACGAACAGCATACATTAAGGGTGTTCGTTTTTCTTCATCGGGAAAATTAACATTAGCATTAAGTTGAAGTAAAAATTTTACTAATTCAAAATGATTATGAACAATCGCATTGATTAATGGTGATGTTAGTATATGATTTGAAGTATATTCAGATATCATTGGTGGATATGATATTGTTATATTTAATGATGAATTCATACGACCAAATGATAAAGGGTTAAGAGCAATTTCATTATCATAATTACATAAACAATCCATTGATTTACTAGAAATAATTAATTTTTGAAGAAATTCTTTATTAAATGAACTTTTTGTAGCCGAAGACCAGAATAATAAACCATAAGCTGTATTACCATATGCATCAATTTGATTAAAATTTAATTCATTAGAATATTTCTTTTGTAAGAAATTAATAAATTCTATATTTTGTATAACACAAGCATAATGTAATGGATATGATCCATATTGATCAGATATATTCCAATAGACATGATTATTATGAAGAGAATTTAAAATTTTCTCTAAATATTGTGTATTATATTGTTGTAAATTAGCAATTATATGAAATAGATTTTGTTTCTGTGAATTTTTTTCATATAAAACAGTTCGATTTCTTAAACTTGATATAAGACGAATAACAAGATTGAGTTTATCATTTCGAAGAGCTGCTTCAAATACTTGATTATAACTCAAATGAAAACGATCAAGTTCATCAAGTATTAATGATAATGCTCCTTGCCAATTACGTTTTATAATTAAATATATTAATGAATATTTTTCAATAGGTTTATTATCTTTTAATATTGATGCAAATTTCCATACCCAAGTTTCTTTATTCTCTAATGTTGATGTTGTTTCAATTGATTTTAATAATGAATTTTTTATTGATTGAGATATATTTTGATCGGATTCAGTATATAATTTACTTAGATCAATATCAATTGGTTGATGAAGAAATGTAATAAGAAGATCTAAATGATTCGATGCAATACAAACAGTAATAACAGAATTTGATAGATTATTTTCAATTAATAAATTTGCATGATGTTTTAATAAAAGCATAATACAAACAGTTGAATGTTTAATAACAGCTAAATGTAATGGAGTATTTCCTTGATTATTTTTTGTATCTAATTGTTTATATTTCATAGCTTGAATAATAAGTGAACAAAGTTCAACAGGATCATCACTTGTCTTATTTTGTAAAAAAACATTATGTAATGGAAGATTTCCAAGATTATCTTTTATAAATAGATTACATTCATTATCAATTAATGTTTGTTCAATATCATTTACAGTATCAACTGTACCTAAATTATGATAAATAGCAATATGTAATAGTGTACGATTTAATTTGCCTTGACTATTTAATATATCTTTATTAATTAATTTTAATTTATCAATAAATAGATGAAAAATTTCTAAATATTCATCAGAACGTTGTGATGTAGCTAGATAATAATGTAATGCTTGATTATGTTGATCATCATAAGCGATAAGATTACATTTTGAATGATTTAATAAATCACGTATAACTGTAAATAATTGAAGTTTACAAGCAAGAATTAATGGTGTTTGTTGACATTCTGATGGTATTATTGATGTAGCTAAATTAACATCACATGATGATTGATGAAGAAGACGATCAATTGTTTTATATTCTTTAAGATGAATTGCTTCTAATAAAGGTGTTCGTCGTGTTTTATGATGAAGTATATTAATATTTTTTGTTTTCTTTAAGAAAATTTCTAATGGATGTTCAATTGTATTATTACTATGTGAAAAATTACGTAATAAATAGAAAATACTTGTTTCAAAATATTTATCTTTTGAAATATTCTCGTCAGATTCATTATCGATTGATTTTATTTCAAGATCTGGATTACATTCAATTATTTCAAGACAATATCGAATCATATTAATAATTGATTGATATTGTTTTTCTTCCGATGATCCATTAAATCGAGATCGTTTACAAAATTCATCAAATTGTATAGCACAATAATGAAATGGACTTCGACCTTGATTATCAATCATTTGACCCATTTTTTTCAATTCATCAGTCAGAGGTAAACTAATTAATGTTTGAATAAGATTATCATTACCAGAATTCATAGCAAAATAATGTAATAATGTTTTTCCATCATGACTAACATCTAAATTTAAATTAACTTTAGCTTGATTAATAAGAAAATCAACGAGAATAAAATTTCCAAATTCAAGTGCAAGCATTAATGATGTTTGAGCTTTATTATCCATTTGAAGAGGATTACATTGATGTTCAAGTAGAATTTTTGCTATTTGAAAATAATAATTTTTTAAATTATTACGATCTTTTTCTTTTAAATAAGAAGAATTTTGTCCTGATTGATTTAATGCTAAATAATGAAATGCATTTCTTCCATTAATATCAATACATGTACAATCAGCTTTATGTTTAACAACAACATATTCTAATTGTTGTACAGATGATGGTGAAATTTCTAATTTAACTGTTATCATAACTAATGTTAAACCTTCATCAGTTTTAAAATTAATATCTGCTTGGTGTTCTGTTAAAAGATAATCACATATACCATAATGTCCTTTAGAAAAACCTATTCCAAGACATGTTGTTTGCCAACTATTAGCACAATTTACATTAGCACCAGTTTCAATTAATAATTGAACACAAAAATACCATCCATATGCAATAGCATAATGTAAAGCTGTATTCATTGATGAATCAAATACATTTGCATTTGCACCCATACGAAGTAAATATGATACAATATGAGCATTACCATACATACAAGCATGAATTAATGGTGTACGTTTAAATCGATCACGTGCTTCTATTTTAGCCCCATGTTTAATTAAATAGAATACAATATCTAAATATCCTTTTTGACAACCTAACATCAATGGTGTCAATTTTTCCTTAGATACACTTGTAAATCCATCAATACGTGCATCAAAGTTTACAAGTACTTTAATACAATCCTGAAATATATAAAAGTTTGTTTTTATGTTTAATGAACAAAAACAAAAAAATAAAAATAAAAACTTAACTTACTAAATGATTATTCATAGTAGCTAAATGAAGAGGATAATAACGTGCTTTATTCATTATATTAATTGACGCAAGACCAAATTTTTCATGTATGATCTGTTCATCGGGTTCATTCGATTCGGCTTTTTCTTTTGCTTTACGTAATAATAATTCAGCATTCATCACTCGACCATATGTTACAGCTATATGCAATGGTGAATTACCATCATTATCAATATCGTTAAGATTTGCATTTCTAAGAATTGAAATCGAAAGAATAGACTAATAAACAAAAAAAGTTCTCTTCGCTTTTTTTTTAAATCGTACTTAGATATAAGATATTCTAATGGTTCTGATCCTTCGCAAGCAGCAGCAAAATGAATTGGTCGTCGTTGATAATCATCCTTAATATTATATTCAGGTACAATAGTTAGTAATTGTTTTATATATTTCGCATTTGGATTTATAGCAGCACAATGAATAGGTGTTATCTAAAAATTTTTTCTTTTAAAATAAAAACAAACAAATAGATAAAGTCGTACTTTAGAATTTTCTTTCGTTTTTTCAATTACATCACAAGCACTATCAATAATTAAATCTTCTTGATCAAAGAAAAGAACCTATTTAAGAAAGAAAAACGCGATGATTATTTGCTTCTTTTTTTTTTCATGTTTAAATTTTTCGATTTACTTCGTAATGAAGTTTACGGAATCTATAATCATTTTTACTCTGCATATCATTGATGATGTTCGCAGCTAATTTTCGATGACCAGCTTGAATACATTCAGATATATTAGAATAGATTTCCCAAACCTAAAGCAAGAACAAAATCATTTTTCATATATAATAAAATATCTGTAATATGGTCATCTCCTTATTCTAAACAGTAAACATCTAATTATTTCTAAATCTTAAAATAACATTTATTGCATTATTCATATGCAGAACGAGAAAAACTGATATTATGTGTACTATGTATGATAATCAACGATTAGATATTAAAACAAAAAAAAGAATGAACGAATTCCATGTATTGTGTTGTGCAAAAATATTGCTATTTCATCAAAATATATTCTTTTGTTAGATTAATAAATTATCGATACTGATATTAGGCACAAAAGAAACTCAAAGTTCTATAATGATGGATACTTCCATAAAATGGATACTCTTTATCAATTTCGATGTTGTGCATATTATAGATGTTCTATTCTACTATCGATAAATGATCGTTTTTCTTACGGCATATTTTTCACAAAGTAAATTATAAATTTCGCTTGAACAATTGTTTTTTATTGCATACAGAAGAAATTCTTTTCTATTATAGAGATCAACGACTTCGTATTTATCCTAAATTAAAATTCATTTAAGAAAAAAAAAATAAAAAAATTATTTGAATAAATAATTCATCTTATACTTTAATCAAAGCATTATTGCCTTCACGTGCACCTCGACTAGCCATTATTTTAGCTGTTCGAAAGCCCAAAGTATTAATACTTGCTCTAGATAAATATAGATTTGCAATTTTTTATTTCATAAGGCCAAAAACAGAAAAAAACGAAACAAAGAAAGCAAATTGATTCAATTCTACTTACTGTCCTGTACTTTGTTCTTCGATAGTGACTTTAGCAAAAGAACATCGATCGGTTCTTGGTATTTGTAAATCTTCTAATAATATTCGAAGTAAATCAATATTATTATTTTTAATAGCATAATGAATAGCTGATAAACTCTTAGGCATATCACGTCTAATATGAACCTATAAAAATGATCAATATTCTATTCAATAATCTAATTAGTAAATTTATTTTTTTTTATTACCGAACAAACATGATCAACATCATCAATAAGACTTTTTAAAAGTACTGAATCATTTAATAATACTGCACGTATAGCTAATTTACTTTGAACACTAGATGATATAAATGGAACAGGTAAACTAAACAAAAAGAATAAACAAGTATACATCGGATTCTTAGTCTTTGATGAAAAATGAGTTTATTACTTGTCTTCAAAAAATGGTTCAGTTTGATATTCTGTTATGGTGTGATTTTCCTTAAGAAAACGATTACTTTGTACTTTGAATAACTGTGCTTTTGATATTATAGCAGGTTTTTTTGCTAGAAAAACATTATATTAAAGAACAAATATGAAAATTTTATATCAAACAAACTTGTTTCTTTCGGTGTTCGTTTTCGTTTTACTACTTTCTTTTCTCCTTCGATAACTTCATCAATATCTTTGGTACGTCGCCGTTTACGTACAGCTAATACATAAAAAAAAATGCACAATGAAGATAATTGATGGAAATGTAAAACAAAAAAACAAAAACAACTTACGAGCAGCTTCAGAACTAATAATTCGTCGTCGTTTTCTAATTGATTGTTTTTTAGCATTATCCGATGTAATCTTTTGTTTTCTGATCTTTGGATTTGATGATTGATTAGTTAAATTATCATCTATGTTTGAATCTATGGATTCATCCGATGAAGTCAATTCAGCTTTAATAGATTTCTCTAATAAACTATTTGTTTCGATAATATCTTGTTTTGTTAATGATATTGTTTTATCCGGATGATGAACAACATTTGGTATATCAGTAAGAATTGTATGTAGATCAAGTTTATCTTCGTAATCAAGTTTAAAATGTGTATTTTCATCAATTTTTGTTTCATCATCATTTTCATCAGCTAATGAACACCATCGAATACGAATTTCTTTTGTATTATTATAAACATTTTGAAGAACTTGACAGAGATAAAATGAATTCGTAGGATTTCGACATGTTATAAAAGTTTTATTGGAATAAAGAAGTGTTCGATCATCAATTGAAGATGTTGACGAAGATATTTTTTTAAGTTTTTTCTGAGTAATATTTTCAGATTCTGATGTTGAATCTTCATCGTCACCTAGATATTTTGAAAATAATCTGGATTTGTTTACATGATGATCAACTGAAGTAACCTGAGAGACACAAAAAAAAGATTTGAATACTTTTTTTTTTTCTATATAAATAATCAATTGTTCGTTTTAAAAAGATACGGATTTCTCTTAAGAATTATTCTATTCTATTTCAAATAGATCGATAGATTCACAACTAAAGAAATATGTATGTCAAATCAAACTATGATATTATGATTAATCTGAAAAAATAAATTCAGAATTGACCGAAGGTTTTGTTACTTACACACCAATACTTTCCATCCAATCCTGTAGAAACATATATTTCTTGTGATTCTTCACTATCATGACTGATTTTCGATCCAGTAAGTTTCTGAAACAACCAATACTATTTTCATTGTTAGACAAAGATCTATTTACTCGTTTTATAGTAGCAGTTCTCTTTGTTTGATTCTTTTTGTTCGAAGATATTACTGATTTCTTTTCCGTTGATGAATGTTTATTATTTTCAGTCATCTGAAATAAAATTCATTAGAACACAAAGATGTTTCTTTTATGCTTATTTGAAAAGAATACATTATTATTCATTTTTAATGTCGATGATCTGTTTTTCATTAGATTCCTTCAACTCTTTGACGAATTAGTTGCATACATAATTATTCTAAGATTTGTTCAACAAAAAAAAAAAATAAAACGATTGGATTCATAAATACGCGATGAAAATACAATTCAAGAACAAAACTCACAGTATTATTTAATGAATTTGTTTTTCTTTTACAGACAAGGACAATAATACAAAACGTATCTGAAGCATTTATTTATATAGGCTTGAAATAGACAACAAAGCGATAAAATATACCGTACTTTCACAATCAGAATGAAATTATTCTGCTTCTTTCCTCACACTCGGTAAGTATTTTTTTTTTTGGCATACGCTCCACATGCTTGAATATATGTGTGTTGTGTGTCCTTGTCGACAAAGTAAATATTCTCTTGATAAAAAAAAAAATGCTTTGACACTAAACCACTGCTAGAAAAATGAAGTTCGTGATCATTTATCTCTTCGAAATTCATAATAACTAACTGCGTGTACTAATATTCAAGGAACATGATCTAGTTTGCTTTGCCACTTACTGTGAATGTACACATCATGTTCTTTAGAGAAAGCATTGAAATTGACAAAACCAAAAGAGATGGCGTACGCTTCAAGCTGACGAGTGAATTTACATACTACAACTTATCAATAAATAAATAAAGCATGGTTTTCGCTGAACTTGGTCCACATTCATCGTAGCATTAACATATTCAAGCACTCAAACGAGTATTAATAAACGAGTTTTCATGTGAAATTTTACGAATACTTTGCCGGGCTGTTTTTAGAAGCTATGATACATGTTTGTTCAGTTAAATACTTACGTGAAAATATCAGAAAAGCAATAAATTTTGAATAGACTTTAACTAAATAATATCATTTTGTCATGGATGTTGGTATTAATCAAATTTGAAAAGACATGATGTTTTAAATGTTACTTCTGCAATGCAAAAGTCCAATTATATTTTTATTCGTACTTTTCAACATATTCATAACTTAATACTATTCCAAACTTAAGAGAGGTTTCGCCAGCCCATCGAGAATCGTTGGAACATGGTCGGAAAAAAAATCTTGTTTTTTTTTATCTCATTCGATTGCTTGCAGAAAACTAAGATTATGAAAATTTTTTTAGATCTTGAAAACTTTCGTTGACGGAGTTATAGGCTTCACAACAAGCGGGAGGTTTGAAAAATGGCAAAAAAATATGTTTTTTTTTATCTTTTAGTATTTTGCCCGTAACTTTGCCTTTTTTTTCAGCTGTTTGTTTTGGGCAACATCTCATTCAAAATAGTTCATTAAACTGAACAAAAAAGTCTCTTATGAGACTTCTAAAAAATGAAGTCTTCATAGGGAAAAAACGAGTTTTCCAAAAAACTCAGCATTTTTCGGATGTAGTGTTTTTCCTTTGCAAGCCATTTTTCGAAGCTATGAAAGTCGAATAGGAAAATCTAGTATGGTGTATTTTGTAGAGAATTTCACGCTGTACAAAATCCATATAAAAAATTTGAGAAAAAAAACATCACGTCANGAAAAAAGCTATTGATGCGTCGTCCAAATTAATTTTTAAGACCTTTCAAAGATTTCTTCACTGCTCTTGAACAAAAATAGATACAACATTTCCAAGCTCATATTCAGAAAGAACACAAAATTCTGGTTCTAATCCATAGTTTTCGACTCGTCTGAAATATTTTCAAGTGGGTCAGATATAAACAAACATTTTGTGCGAAAACTTTCGATCCACCCGTTATAATCCATACTATTTAAAATGAAGTTTGATAGACAAATGTTTTAAGAATAGCATTTTATTTCTGCATGAAAAGCTTAACAAAATCTGTCTATTGATATGTTAAATTGTACAAAAAGAAAATAACCTTTAGATTTTGCCAAAGGGTGAAACAATGTACTTGAAGCCAAACAGTACGTCAAAATACTTTAAGGAGTATTTTGATTTGTAATGTACCGTTTTTCTTCAGGATAGATCGTCTATGTTTTTTTTTCTTTTATAGGTATGAGTCAGTTCCACAATCATGACTGATCTTTAAAGTAACTCAAAGTAGTTGAAATTAAATTCAAGTACAAAAGTATGTTGTTTTCTCATAGTATCAATCGAAGGATGCACAAGATCAAGTTGTAACATAAAGGATAAAAATAAACGTAGAAATGAAAATTGATACTATGAAAATATGCAGTTATTGAGAAATGAAATTTTCATACAGTAAAGAGTTTGTTTTGAATTTCGAATGTGATTTAATTATTCATTAAAAAAAACATGAACAATTGACTTCAAATCATGGTGTACAAACATGATATGAATGAAAACAAGTGTTTTTGCTACGACATTATTCCCATATGATTTGTTCATCACATATACCTCACATTCCTTAAATTAGATTGCTTATGTTTTCCACTTCCGTCTTCGTCTATTAAGAGATTTTCTCTCTGTTGTTTAACTGTAACTATTTTTCTGTTTGATCTTTTCAAAACATATAATGCTACAAATACTTATACAATAACTTTTCAACATCATGAAAATTTATAAATCATGAACGTTATAAACACAAGTCTTGGTACTAAAGTTTTTACTTGATAGAAAGTGCTTATATATAAGAAGGATTTTTTGTATTAGATAGGACTGATTGTCTATAGACAAAAAATCTTGTACTGTTGTTAATGTAATTGAATAACATAGCATCTAATAAGAATAATCAATACGTGTAGAATATACCTATGATTCAAAAATGAGAAATCGGTTAGAACTCTACTCTATAACAGTAATACACAAATCTATAGATCAATAAGCATTCAAATAAATCAAGGTATTTATGACAATTCCCATAATATGATAGAAATCTAATGCTTAATAATATCTATGGAGGTATAGATTTTTTTCTCACTCTTGATTTCTACAATTCGATTGAATTCCCGGAATAGTTATGAATTGCATGATTTCTTTTTATCTGTATACATGTGGAGATGTTTGTTTTGTTGTAGTCTAGGAATTATGTAAAATTTCTGATTTCTGAATTGTACTTATTGCTGACTGTTTCTTTTAGTCAAGTATTTTGAGAAATTTTGTTTTTGTTCTTTTCAATTTTTGTGATAGTTTTAACTTTTTGAAGAAAAAGTCATAGAAAATGACGCGATTGCTCTTTTTGTTCTCTTTCAAAGTGACATGGTTAAAAAAAATAATCTTCTAGAACCTGAAAACTACCTTGTCAGATTTTTTAGAAACTTTGCCATCATAATTCACCTATAAAATCTTGTTATACAATGCATTATATAGAAAAATATATTGTTATTAAACTTTTTTCCATCGCATTATGTACAACAGTGTATTAAAAGACTTTTCATAAATAATTCCCTTGTGAATGAAAGAACTATTCTTTTGATTCCAATATAAAATAATTCGTTGAACTACAGTAAAATCTCTCTATTGTAAACATCATCGGAACCATTCAAAAGTGTTCACTATACGGAGATGTTCATTTTTCAGAGTGAAAGCATGGTTTACTGTGAAATGAAGAAAAGGTTCCAGAAAAACTATCTCTACATGTGTTTTATTATCATAAATTGCTAGTATTTTGTTTTGCAAAGTAAGCTTTATCGTGATTTTATTCTTTACTTTACACGTATATCGGTCGAGTTATACATAAAATGCATTTACTTGTAGTCTATACCAAACAAGTGACAGAAGAGAGAAAGAGATCATAAAAACATGTTTACATTAACGAAGTTATAATAGCAACAGAGACTGAAAAAAGTGTTCACATAAGAAAGAAGCATTGCCAACAATAATAGCTCCGATAGATCCGAGATTGTTCATAATTAGGAGGTATTCAGCAGTAGAGGTTTTACTGAATTAACAAATCATAAAGAAACAAAATCTCATCATTCGAATGTATTGATTAATATATATATATATTAAATTATTATTTGATTAGAAGGAAGAGATCAATTCAATACTTGTTTGTCTTGAGTATGTAGATTTAAAAATCGAAGTTAATGATACCTTTTTTATTCTTCTCAGTAACAAGATTCGAAGAAAATTATGACACATTTTATTTATGTATACAACAATGTAACGAATTATTGTTTCATTCATATAAAACAGATATTACACTCAAAAACAAATTGAAAATCAAAATATGAATTCTTGTGTTGCGGTTGACATATCTTAAAGATTTTGTGATGGCTCAGCCGATCGGCTTTCACTTCAACCAACCTATTATTCATTCAAAAAGAAAATAGAGAATTAACGATAAGCTTGATATAAACATTTGTATTTCAAAGTTTGACATTTTATTTTATATTTTTTCAAATCTATTCTTCTTTATTCCTTTTACAAATTTAAGAATCTCATGAGGAAAATTTCGGGTCTATACGCATATGTTTACTTCGCAAGAAAATAAAACCTAAAGCAAAAGATTGAGTTGTTATCAAATAATCGATGTATTTGACAATTATATAATGAAAACGAAAGAAAAAAAAAGCCCATTGTCTACACGCAATATACAACATAAAATATGTAAACAAAACAAAACAAAATTCATATAGGTTTTTGTAATGTTTTAGATAGAAGTGATTCGAATTCAATTCGTTCTATTGTCTACGATGATGTTGAATTAGCATTATTTCCAGTTTGAGATTGTTGTTGTTCTTGTGATGGTGATCCAGCTGATACAGACCAATAAGGTGGTGGTGATGCTTCATTTGATGTTTCAATTGTAGTATCATTCTTTTCCGGTTGAATACCAGGTCCATAAGCAATCTTAGAAAAAAAAATATAATAATAATAAGAAAAAAAATAGTATAATAATTTACTAATTGAATTTCAAATTGAAAAGATTTTTCTTTAATTTTTGTTTTAATTCCATCACCAGATGTACCATCCTCATCAAAACTAAGAAAATATCCTGGTACATGC